TGATCAGGAGCAGTGGCGTTCACTATCGAGGCGGTGGTGTTCAACGGCGGCCCCATCCACCTCCCCTCCTTGTCAAATACGGCGAATGCGGTGATCCACCCGGTATAGTAATCCCTGTGCCCGCTGCCGCCGGGTTGATAATGTGCGACGCGCTGCCAGAAATCGACGTTCATCACGCTCGTGGGGTCGTCGAACGCCGCGACGAAGCGGGTGAGCACAGGCCGCAGGAGGTGGTACCATGCTGTCGTCTCCAGTCCGTACTCCTTCAGCTTTTCGAGCCGGTTGAGGATATCCACCCAGTCCGACTGCTCCCCCTCGAGCGTGACGCGCGGGATCCCGCACCCGGCGAGCATGATCATGTACTGGAAGTACTTCTTCAGCGTCGCCATGAGGAGCACCGCGCTCACGGTGCGGTCGTTGTTGGTCGTGGTGGTGAAATCAGGTGTCGCCCACGCGCGCAGTTCCGGATCGACGACGTTCTCCTCGACGAGCCCTGCCATTGCACGCGCGATGAAGCCGAAATCCACCGTGTACCGATCAACGCCTTCGCCGACAACCTTGAAGGTCAGCCGCTTCTGCCCCTCGTGCGCGACGAAGTTCGCGCGCAGGAGCTCTGCGTGCGCATTGACGAAGAAGTTGAACTGGGACAGGATGGCGAGCCACACGTCGTCGGGTCGGATGACGACAGCGCGGTCCTGCGTGTATGCGTCCAGCAGCGTCGAAACGAAGCCGTTTGGGCTCGGCACGATATCACGGATCGTGGTATCCATGGACAAATTATATGGAACCTCTAAGCCAAGCGCGACATCGCACCAAGAGGTGGTTGAGTTGACGAGAAAGCACATTTTGTCCGTATCGGTGCCTGTGCGGCTTTCCAGCGCCGGCCCGAGGGAATATTGCAGGATCTCGCCCGCCTTGGCGTGCTGGTCTGTGCACGCGGTGGCGAAAAACCCATCTGCGGTGTGCCAGCCCGCCTGGGTTAGTGGGAACGGTTTAGCGGAGTGGGCTGCGACGGCGAAGGAGACCGGCATGGATAGTGGAGAGTGCCGAGTGCTGTTGTCGAGTCAGCCGAACCTTTTATGTATGCACACCAATTGGCCGCGTGGCGACACGTATCTCCTGTTCGCACATCAATAATGATCAAAGGGTATATGTGGATTTCGAACGGGGGATGAGCGTGAAACGGGCTTGGTTATTGGGCCTTGTACTTGGCAAAGCGGCATTCGCGGATCAGTAGGGCTGAGACACCGTCTTGCTTTCGTATCTTCGCTCGTCAACGGCAAGTCAAAGGTCAAGTACTGGGAGTCTGCGGAAACAACACTGGGGTCTCCAGATTGAGATTTTCCGCCAAGGAACTTGAGAAATCCCAGGTGCTGGCCACGCGGAAGGGACGAGGTATTCAGGGTCCCAAAGTTACCGATGTCGAAGCCGAGTCGTGGAGAATCTTGGCCGCAGATCAGAGTGTTGTATTCGGCACCAGGGATTCAGAGCTGCGCTGGTCTTCTTCGTGAGTAAGAGTCCGCCATTGCACCAACACCAGTTCATCAATTCGTCCTTGTCGGTACGCGGTTCATTGAATTCGGGCTAGACGTACTGTACGGCCAGTGGGGGGCGCGAAACTGCGACGCATCTTTGGAGGATCAGGAGTCTGGAATGGCGAGGAGGTGAGCAGAACTAGTTAGACGTAAATCACAGTGAGCATTGGCAGATGCGCTTGAGATGCACTCGAAGCAGGAGACAAAGGGGATAGATAGCAGTCCCAGGTGGGTCCCAGAACGGTGTGTTAGAGCCACAAATCCAACCAAGAAAAGAGAAGATACAAGCGCAGGAAGCCTGTAGCCTAAGGTCATGGTGAGTAAGCAAAGGAAATCACCACTTGATCCGGCTGACGCGCCGCCACAAAAAAATCCTCTTTGTCATGATCAATAATGTCCCCGGGTGGACTCGAACCACATCAGGGAAACCCCCCACAGATATTTTGTGATATTTTTGCATAAAATGTTCGAAAATATCAGTAGTTTGGTCATTGTCAGAATTTACTCAAAATATCTTCCCGGGCAAGAAATTATGAGAATTTCGGCAACTTTTGAATAACTTTTCAGCGGATTTTCGTGCTTTTCAAGAGATATTACTTGCTCATTTCACTCCGAAACACAAGAGGAACACGATGAGGATGATGTATATTGCAAGCTACTAACAACATGACATATGTACATAACTTCCGCCCCACCATCATTCACCTCCGACAACATTGCTCATACCGAACCTAAAGTTTTCAATTACAGTCGACGAAGCAGCAAGCCTTCTGTGAGAGAATCAGTAAAACAGTTCTAGCAAGAAGATTTGGCAGCTTACAAGCAAAAGTAGGGTATACGCGATACCAGTCTTCTACATTGAGGCCGTTGAGTTAGATATACTGAGCAGGAATTTGATTTCAAGCTGACCTCAAGTAGTGCCGCAACAAGCTGTTCAGCAATCCTGGATGCTCAACCTAGGGTGAACCAAGCCTACAGTGATGAAATCAACATGAGGAATGGCTGCCGAGGCGTCCGGAACTCACGAGGAACAACAGCGTGCATGCTTAGCAGGGATATTCTAGGGGGCCTGCTAAGTGAGGGAAGATTAAACCTGGTGATTGAAACTCACCCAAAACGACCCTAAGCCATGTGCACTAACAGAGGAATAGACCTCAAAGGACACAGAAAGGGACATACGCTACGAGGCGCTCTAGCAAGGCTGACAGCGTACTTGGTAGAGGTGTGCACCGTCCCGTCGACGGCCACGGCCGTCGTTTCGACGGGACCGGGACGGTAACGGTCCGTCACACGACAGCCGTCATTTCGACAATTCAAACTACTGAGTAAGTTCATAAGGTGTGGCCTAAATTGTCTATTGGGCTTACCTCCGCATGGAACCTGGGTATGGCGTGTATTCTGGACCTGTCGAAGCTACAGAACTTTGTTGTAGTGCGACTTCCTTGCTGGCAATAATATTAGCTGGACATATGAAGTATTGCGGATGAAACTAACTCTTTTGCTGCCTTGGATACCCGTCGACGGCCGTTTTCGACGGGCACGGCCGTCAAAAACAGTCGAAGAGCTCGACGGAACAGGTTGGCTACCCGTCATACGGAACCCGTAGAACCGGCGCGACGGGCACGGCGCACAGCCCTAGCACTGCTTGGCCGCCGACCCAGCAAGATATCCGCACAAAACCCCGAAACATCGTCACTGTAGATGAATGCCGAATTCTGGTGGACAAATCCTAAGGAGGAAGATGGATGGTAGATGCTAGTACATAACTTACCTGGTGACCCATACACCGATACCATCCTATTTCAAGTTGGCACAGCGATCCACGAGAAAATGTGGATCTGGACTGTGGGGAGCATGACGGAATGATATAGGACGTTGTCGGATACAGAAACGAACGACAGTAGGCAGAAGTGTGAAGAGAACGAGAGAGAACGAGTTGCGCTGGCAGGGGGAAGGTGGGAGAAAGGAAGGAAGAACCTGTTGTGACAGCATCCATTTTCGCGCGCACGTGGTTGCCGTTACAATTGGACATGCCTAGACATGCCGACAAAGCCAAGCCACACCAAGTGAAGGCAAGTGTCGTACTCGTGCCATTCACTTCAGGGTGGGTGTTGTTTCGAGTTGGCTCTTTCCATCACTGCCGCGTAAACTTTTGGTAAGTACGAACACTTGTGACTTCTCACTGAGAATCCCTTCGCTGACGGGCGAGTCCTCTCGAACATTTTGATGAATCCTGTGATTCCGCCTCTCCACAGGATTCGGATGTAAAAGTGAGACACCTTCTCCGGATATTGGACTGAACAAAGCAGGGAAACTTGTGATATATCAGCAAGAATAACTCACTAGTTGATAAAACTTTGACAGAACTTTGGTTGAAATGAGCAAAATTATATCGGGACTCCGCAAAATGCACAACATTGCAGGTACCTTTAGTAGGATTCTTATCAAAGTTGTCGAAATTTGTCGAAAATATCTAAATTTTGGTGGCCTCAAAAATATTTTCAGCAAAAATATCACAAAATATCAGGGGAGGTTTTCCCTGATGCACAGTCTCTCCCGTACATTGTGGAATCAAAGACCTCCGAATTTTGTGGGAGCGAGCTGCATTGCTCCACGGGGACTCTTTCAAATTGCTTTTAAAAGTCGAACCGTAGTTGTGCAGCATCGGCACCGGCGAGGTCGATGAGTCTGAATTAGACCAGTAACTGAGGTAGAAATCGAATGCGATCCAAGAGCGGCACGCGCGCGCGCAAGCTAAGCGTGTGTCGTCCGAGTCCTCTCTTGTACAGCCGCGCAAGAGAAAAAGAAAACATCGGACGGCTGGCCGGTCGCCACTATTGACACGAGAAAAAAGAAACCAAAAAGCTACCATGAGAAATAGGCAAAAGAACAGAGTGCAACCATATCCTCGGGCGGATTCGAACCGCCAGCTCTCCCGGTATACACTACCACTTTATATTTTGTGGGAGTGAGCTGCATTGCTCCACGAGGACTTTGTGTCGTCCGAGTCATCTCTTGTACAGCCGCGCAAGAGAATAAGAAAACGTCGGACGGCTGGCCGGTCGCCATTGGCACGAGAAAAAAACAAACCAAAAAGCGACCATGAGAAACAGGCAAAAGAACAGAGTGCAACCATGTCCTCGGGCGGATTCGAACCGCCAGCTCTCCCGGTATACACTACCACTTTATATTTTGTGGGAGTGAGCTGCATTGCTCCACAAGGACTTGTTCCTTCTGTCTCTTTCTTTTACTCGTACGTGGGCTAGTTATACGTAGAGCTTGGGCCAAGCTCAGTATGATTTCGCAGCACCCAGCACCCAGCCGTCCACCGCTATGCCGCAAGTCTGGCGAGCAGCTGAGATACCCGATAGCGCTCGGAAAGAACTGCCCGGTGAGCTCAGATAAAGCGCCGACGCCGCGAGATCTATAGCTATGCGCATGCAAAAAAATGCAACAAATAGACTATCTCCCCGGGCGGACTCGAACCACCGTCTCTCCCTGGCCACACAGTATCGCTGGTTATAATGCGGGAGTGAGCTGCATTGCTCCACGCGGACTTCTTCTCAGAGTATGCTGATCTGGGCTGGGTATTGTCAATGTGCGGGCAGACGGACAGCATTGCCCAGGGTCGGTTTGGCGCTGAAGCCCCAACACGATTGATTGTTTCGACATCCGCATAGAAGGCGGGCAGGCAGCGCTCACCGCCCAGCCAGCCCAAAGCCAGCCAGCCAGCCAGCCAGTCACCTCGGCGCCCATGGCAAAAAGAAAAGAGCCACTGGCAGGAAAGAGAAAAAACGACAACGACAACTCAAAACGACCTCGCCGCGCCTCGACTCGCCGTTATGATCAACGAGCACGAGTGCCTGCGACTCGCTGTTACCAAGTAGATGAGATTGTAGACTGCTGGACTCGGCGCCACGCATACATACACCACGGCACAGAAGGCGCGATCCTAGCGCGGCAACCACGGCGGGTCAACGGCGCCTCAGCATCTCACATCTCATCTCATCACACGGACTCGACTCGACTAAACTGAGGCGCGCACCGCACGTCGCTAAGCCCAAGTCGCCCTTGCGCACGGCGGGGAAAGGAGCCGCTCGCGCCCGAGCGTCCGCAGGCGGGGGACGAGGGGGCGAGCGGGGGCGCTGGGTAGCGAGGACGCCGAGCGGCGACATAGCAACGACGCCGAGTCGCGTCAGAGCAAACACGGCGGGCAAGGCGGGCACGGGCCAAGTCGAGCCAGCTCAGATGGCGCGCGGAGAATGAGCATGTAGGCACAGGCCAGCAGAGCCTCGAGGCGACAACGCCGAGCGGGGACGGCGGCGATAGACGGGGATCGCATGGGGCCGCACAGTACAGATGAGGTAGGAACGGCGCAAGTCAATTCAGAGTAACAACACACGGTATCGCATTCTACTGCTTCCACTCTCCCACAGGCGCCGCCGACATCGACGTCGAGCGCTGGATCTAGTGCGCGTTGTTCTTGTGGTGTTCTGGATGAGACGAAACGAGGTCAGAGAAGGGCGGGGAAGAAGAGAAGGGGACGCACTGAGGTGGACTGTCGGAGGCCATGCGGGTACCAGTACGAGGATAGAGGATCGGATAGGTCAGCGCGGTCTCCAGCTCGAAAAACGAGCAACACGCACGCTGATAATCCAGCGTATACCCAATCAAAAAGATGCCGCCGATGAGCGCGAGCACGGGGGCGCCGCTCGCGTTCTTGCCGCTGAAGAAGCGGCCTTTGAGGCCGCCGAAGCGCGCGGGGGCGGGGCCCTTGGGGAGCTTGGAGTAGAAGTCCACTAGCGGGGTGAGGGTGGCGCCGGAATTGCCGGTCTGCGGGGTGAGTATCAGTGAGGTGTAAGAGGGATAGAGCGGAAGAGGCGGAAAAGGTAGAGGGAATGCGGAAGGACACGGAAGAAGAAGGGGCGGAAAGACACGGGAAGGACGGGACACGCACGACGAGACGCGGGGTAGCGATTTTGGGAAGGACAAGCCCGCCGAGCTGGCGGCGGAGAGGCGAGGCGTGCATCGAGGAAGAATTCACTTATCACCCAGTACATGCGTCGACAGAAGAGGGCCTGAACTGATGGTCCAATGGATCAAATCACAGCCACATTGCTTTCTTCCTCCGAAGTCCATGCGGCACATCGTTGGATCTCTATGCTGGCCTAGCCCTGCCTTAGAAATGGATTAACTAGGGAAACCATGGTGCGTAGGCTTACCGGCGCCTAGTATACCCCGGACGATTTTGAGTTATAGGTATGCTCCTGATATATGGATGATGAGATGCTCACCTTCCGCGGACGACTCCATCCTCTTCGCCGCCTACGCCTCACACGCGAAGAACCAGGACGCCATCGACGCCTCGGCCCTGCGGGCGTGAGGGGACTCGATCCAACGGGCATCATGTTACTGGGCCGAATACACGACCCGCATCCGCCGGCACCACAGAGCCGTGCGCCGTTTCCACTCGCCACAGCGCCGGCGACTGAGACTAGCCCGCTCACCAACATCGCCCACGATATGTGCTGCCACGGCGACAGGCACGCGGAAGGCGCCTTCTCCTGCATCGCCGACGCTCCCAGCATCATCCAAGCTCCGGCGTTTCCTCCAGTTCCCGCTAACCACGACCGCTCAAAGTCGCTCTGCGTCGTACGCCACTTGCACCTCCACCACCTCTAACTCCACCCTCCGCGTCCGGCCGCCGCAGCGCAACCGCTTCCTCGGCTGCTAGGCAAGGACGAGGACAAGGACGCTCGAGTACTCGAGCGTCAACGCATCTGTGAAGCCAAGCGCGGAGCGCGGCCCTCACGATGGACCAATCCGAGCACAGACCACCGCCTCGCCCACGTCGTAGGACTTCGTCGTGTTGTCTTCCCTGCCGTCTGCGTATGCGACTGCGCGCCGCATTTCTCTGCGTCTATTCCGCTGTCGTCTAGATCCGACTCCAGCAACGGCTATGGCGGCGATCTGACGCTCGCGCGCCCACCCCGGCCGGCTTGGCGCAGCCAGTGGGGCACTCACTACACGTCTCGCGCGGATAGTTTGCCCGTCTCGCGGCGAACACGTCCGACTTGTCGATGGCCGCTACAACCAGCGGCTCCTATTCGCAAGCGGGTTCGCCTCCTGGGCCTCCCGCAAATCCGACGCCCAACCCCCTTCCTCCCAAAGCCAAATCTACGTCGAGTTAAGCGAACTCGTACGCTACCCCCAAATCCATGCAAATCCCGATCGCAGAGGCGAAAAGATCTGTCTTTCCGATGGAAGGCTTGCTGGGGTGCATTCACATCACCGCGACGGGCGACGGGCCACTCTGCTTTGCATTTCTCGCCTCCCTTACACATTTATGAGTTCTCGTCCTCCGTTGTGGCGCCCGTCATCTCCTGCCGCTACGGAGGCCACGCTTTCCTCTCCTCTCTCGTGTCGTTTCGTTTCCATCCTCTGCTTTCGCGTCCTCCCACCTCGTTCTTTCCGCCAGCGGCCCGGCTACCCGGCCAGTATCACCTTCCATATACGGAATCGACTTTTTATGCTATTTCTCTGAAATGGCGGGGACGCGACCCTAGCCGCTCCAGGGGCGGAAAATGGATCATTCGTGCACGCGTGGCCGCGGTGGTTAGGAGAGACAGGTCGTTTTGGGCAATGACAATTTGGGTCGGGGCGCCATTTCCGAGACTTGCGATCTCGAAGTTGAGCCACGGGATCGCTTAGCGTGTGCTGGAGGAGCAGGATACCATGGGTGGGCGCCTGGCGCCGCCGCGGTTTGGCGGGGGTGATGGCTAGGGTTTGTTTTATTTTATTTTTTCTTTCCTGGGTGGAGACGTACGTCCCCGTAAAATCACTGGGTCTTTATTTATGTTCGCTTTCCCTTCCCTGCGCGTCGCACTTCCTGCATGTCCTCATATCTTCAATCCTCTACGCTCCACGACCCTTCAACCTAGACTTTCTCCACCAACCATCTATCCTAGATGTCGCGATGTGGGGGCATCATGCCCCCTGTGTCATAATCGTTAGATTCCGCTCTCCGCGCCGATCATGTTCTCGTCATGCAGGTTGAAGATTGTGCTTTTGCAGATAAACCAACCATGAGGCGCTCCAGTCCAGCGTTCATCGGGAACAGACTAAAAAAATCCTGAGATGCCTCAAGGCATAAATTTCGATCCAGCCCATCACCGGAGCTTGAGGTGTCACGGAACTGGGTGTAATGGAACTACTGAGGAAGGGCAGATATTCGGAAATTGTTTTATGCTCTTACGAAAGCCCCGAGGCTGAGCACAGGCTCGTTCGAGTCCGGGTCGATTGAAGGACCACTGTTGCAGGGTAATGCTCCTGGCAAGCGGTTCGGAAACTGGGGATATGGGAACGCTGGATTGATGGAGAGCTAGAGAGGCGAAAGGGGACGAAAGAAGAATACGAATGGAGCTAGATTAATGTGTTAGGTTAGCGAATAGAATGATTTGAGTGTGGAGAAAAGCAATAATCTCCTCGGCGCGAAGATGGGAATATTATGCAATGGTTAGTCGACGGCGCGAAGACGTTAACAAAAGGATTCGAGTGCCGAACACTGCGCGAAGCAGGGTTCCGAGAATAGACCAGAAAACCAAGAAAATCTCGTGTGAAGCGAGAAGGAGCGAGTGATGCATCTTCTCCGACTCTCTGCCCTTGGGTTCCAAAAAGCTTTCACGCTGTGCGACGAGATATTTTCTACATTTTCTTTCAATGTTCTGGGCTCATTTTTGCCCTCAGGTCGTGATTCTAAAGTTGACTATTTCCAGCTAGAAAAGCGACGCTTGAAAACAAGTGAGCGATGTCCCAATAACCCTATGTAGTGTTCTTGGCTTTATGAACGCTCATCCAAACTCCAAGCGATGATGCGAACGCCATTGGAGCCATAAGCCATCAATTTGCGCAGTGCAAAACAGCCACCAGATGGCTCGAATGACTGCTGCGCAACTCTCTAATATCAAGTACCGATATCTGACGACAAAAGATGCGCTGGTCTGAACCTTTGGTTTACTCCTCGTGGCCATATTTTCAGTTTCAATTTCCTCTTTAATGCCCCGTCCATTCACTACGTTCTGCCCCCCCCCCCCTAGATACAGGCTGAGTCCAGATGACCTACCTGCAGCTGCCCAGAGGGGTCTGTCTAGGTGACTAGAAGCGGTCTGTGCAGGTCAGTCTAGGTATGACACAGGCCTACGAAACTTCCGTGTCATCCATTATGCCGTTTGATGCGACTCAAGAGAGCTGGGTGCCCGGCTTGGCTCCACTTCTTTCCTTCCCTCCCCCATCATCGAGTTGTCCCCTGCTCTCCCGCCTTCTCTCCTCCTCGATGCGCTGCAACGCCAAACGCCAACACCGCGATCAACTACTGGCCATCAAGCCTACCAACCTCAGGATCAAGCCTTGTATCGCAATACTTGCCGTCTCACCATTTTTCTGGCCAGCTATCCTGTACTCAGCGCTCGAGTTCAAGAGGCTTTTCTTTGTGCTCTTTGGATACTTGTATTAGAAAGTTTACTTGCTGTTACTCATGCTCCTCTGCCCCCCTTCGAAT